TTTTCTGAGGGGACGGCCGCCTCCCGCGCGGCCGGGAGGCCTCGCTGCTCCTGCCCTGCCGTTGGGGGGGGGGCGGTTGTGGTATTTCTGGGAGTATTTCCGAAATCTGTATCTAGTCGGGGGTTCTTTAAGTCGAGGGAGGGAGGGGAAGCTGCTGTGAGGGAGGGGGGGGGGTTCCCCCTGCGGGAGGGGGCTTCCCTACCCGGGAGCGGTGGTTTACCAGAGCCGTGTACTGGTCTTTTACACCTGGTGAGCCCTAGTGTGGCGTTACAGAGCCCGCCAGCTCCCTAAGTACAGAATTCTTCAGTTTGGTGAGAGTGTAGTTTCTAAGTTTCCTGAGTTTTTCTTTTTTAGAAAAAGAACTGAAATGGGGAACATGTGAGACACTTTCAGTTTTCTTTTATGTGCAGTGTGATTACTATTCTTGTCTGTATGACTGCTTTGTGAAATAACAGTATCAAGAGAGGCAGAACTGGGAGAAAATAATTTTCCTCCTCCATTTTAGTAAGTGGAGAGAGGGATGAGGAACTGCATTGTTGGTTACCATTTTCCATTATATCTGGAAATTGTTATACAGGTCACAGTAAGCAGTCTGATGCAATTCATGGGAGCTATTTAATCCTGAAAGATCCTGTTCTGCTGTTCTGAATTGATTTTATTGTGGAGGTAGAATACTCAGCAGCGTGTGTTGCATAGCATGAATGCATCCATGTTCATCATTATGCAGTGGGGTCTTTAGGCAGGGCCTGTGTACATCATCATTTGTACCTTTCCCAAGGGCAACAAAGTTCCTTTAGTTGACTTGGGTGCTGTTTAGACCAGACAACGTCAAGTACCTCACTGCCAGAATCAGAGATGCTGTTTAATTGTTTCAATATTCCTATTGAACTCAACAACAAAAAAACTTCCTCTCTTTCTGTTGTGCTTCAGGCCACCTGGTGCATATTTAGGTGGGGTTTTTTTGTTGTTGTGTTTAAGTAATGCTTACAACTAATTGTATAGCACAGTCAATGGTGGAAATAGTTACTGGTTTTCTTGTTGTGTTGATTTAAGGGGGGTTGCTTATAAGGCTGCAAAGCATTTATTTTGAGGCTTCTTTTCATCTGTGTTTAAAAGGAGATGCCAAGTGTGACTCCACTCTGACATATTTCAGTGTTTCCTTTTTACAACGTACTTCAAGTTTTCAGTCTGTATTTTTGAAGTATCTTAGGAGGTGTGCTTTCATTTTCTAAACCACTTAAAATTTTGAACAAATAGCAGGGGTGAGAGAGGGAGGGAGACTAGTAATTCAAGTGTATTCAAAATGTACACACTTGTTTGGAATCATAGATGTAACTAGTTTCAGTAATTCTTGGTTCACAAACAAAATCTGCTTTTGAACTGATACTGGGAGCTCAAGCTTTAAATTTCTGTCTGGTTTATTTCTACCTTGGGGTTTTTGATTGTGACTTAGTTCTTTAGCTCATTCTTTTCACTGTTCTCCTCCTGTCCATGCTTCTGCCATCTTGCCCTCTGTCTGCTCTCTGTGTTTCTTTTTGTTTTCCTTTTGTTTCTTCCTTGTTCTATCCTCCCCCCCCACCCCCCCCAAAATACCTTTG